ACGGCAAAACATCCACCACTATAAACGTAAACAAACAAACCAATTACGAAATTACAATACGTGCAACAAAAAAAACTACGATGCGACAAAAAAAAACTCTTCCGGCAGTTTCAGTGCACTTCGGTGTTCCTGCCCAAGCGCTCCCGCCCATCCTGTAACCAGCACAGTTTGTGGCTACCCACTGTGGAGCTACGTACTCCTTATTTTGGCCCGGTCGGCTTGGCTATTTCCTCACGAGACAGGTGAGCGTACGCATAAATACATGTAAACACTTATGTTCATATTAAAGTTTAATTCAATTCAATTCTCTTTCCTTTTTTTTTTCTTTACAATTAAAGCACCGGACACACGATGGGGCCAGGAATCAGGGTTGCGGCGGTACGGCGTTGGCGTCGCTAGCATCAACACCTGGTACCAGAACGGACTCACTCAGTTTAGGCTTCTACGGCACGTATCCTCCGTCGTCTATGCTGGCGGTACGGTAGAATCCGCTGGTCGGTGGGATAGCCCTGAAGACGCGGCTGTACGGGCTGCTGCTGACGAAGATGCGACGATGAGACGATGATGGCGATGCGGGCGGTCAATTCAGCCTCAACATGCGTCGAAACGTGGTCGGCGGGACGATTGGGCATGTGCTGGTGGCTACCAATTGCCCAATATCCAAAATGTAGCATAAGTCCAAAATAAACAGACCCAACGGCCGCTCGTCTGCTGCTGGGTCTATGATTATCTGACACGTAGACATTGGCATAAATTTCTTTCATTTATTTTCTAACCTTTTTTTCTCTTACCTATTTTCAGGTTATAGGTATATTCAAAATTCTTTCAGGTCTGTGTCCGTGCTCCGTCCTTGCTCGTCTCATTCACCAGCAACAATGCCGCCACCACCTCGCGTACCGCGTGGCTCTTTCAAAACCCTTTTGCATCCGTTTATTCCCATCCTTCTCCTGCCGCCATCTCCTACTCCCATTTCCAGCAACCATGGCCTGCTGCCGCAACAGCTGGCACTGTCACTTCCCGGTACCGCAAGGTGGCGCTGGTAACCGGTTGCGCCGATAAATGTATGCTGGCGTTGCCAGAAACCGCGGCCGATAATTAGCCGATGCAACACCAACGCAAAGGTGCGAGTGACGCCATCCGGAATGCTGCAACCTTTGCGCGCATCATCTCCGCCGTCGCGCGACTTCGGCTTTCGATCCTTCCGACACGCCCAACGTAGGCCACACCCACTCTTCGCTCGCGCTTAGGAGCGCAAATCTTTTGCGTGGAAAACTCCCAGGGGCCTTCCTTGCAGATCTTCAACTTCGTACGCGTTGCTTCCAACGGCTCGGACCACTCGCGACTTCAGGAACTTCCTCGCAAACTTCGCGTTGAACGCTTTGCTAAAGTCGCTGAGTACGAAGTTTCGGCGGTAGACTTCTTGGCCCGGGACAGCATGGAACTTACGCGCTCGTTGGTCAAAGCGGGCTCTACTTCGCTCATACGCGGTATGCAGGTGTCTTTGCACCTTCTCCTGGACAAGTTTCTGTCTGTCGCTTTTATTTAATACTGACATCTCGTGGTCGCCCATCGACTTCAGTTTCCTCGCCAATTCATATTGGGACCCATGCAACATCATGTGCTGCCCGAAGAGTGCAAAGAACGGCGTCTTTCCTGTCGCCGCGTGCACGCTGTTTCGAATCGCCACCTCGATTTCCGGCAGATGCAAATCCCCCTCTCTATGATCCTGTTCCAGGTATGCTCTAATGGCTGCCAATACGGTGCGGTTGACCCGTTCCGAGGCGTTGCTCTGGGGCGAATATACCGGGGTCTTCAGATGCTTGATCCCGTACGCACCAATCATCTCCGCAAACGTCGCTGAAGTAAATTGCCGCCCATTGTCTGAATGCATCACCTCTGGCACTCCAAATGTGTGAAAGACGTTGTTCACCAGAAATTCCACCACATTTCACGACGTAGCCTTCCTCATCGCTTTCAAGAAGGTAAACTTCGTGAAATAATCGACGACGATGAATATAAACGCTTGGCATTGCCGTCGTGTGTTTGGGCCCTGCTTGCGCTTTGCCTTGGCTCAGGCCTTTTCGGGACTGCCTCTCTGCTGACGTGATCAGACACCTGCTGCTCGGCGCGCAATTCAGGTACGTAGTCCACGCCTGTTCTGACCGGTAGCAATGCCTCGTTAACCGCTCGCATTAATTCCAGGAAGCCTTTTCGAATCTCCTCCTGCAACACCTGGCTTACTCCGTTCACCTGCGCATGCCCATAGGTTTGGTTGGCCTGTGCGATGGCAACATTTACCGCTGACGCCACTTCGCTATCGACGCGCCCCGGTGTGCCATCACGTCGCTCCTCTTGCCTCGAATGCTGTCTGGGCGGTGTTCGCAGCAGACTGACAGGCCGCGCCGCCACAGCGCCCGCTTCCGAGCCTTCATCGAGCTCTATCAGCCCACCATCTCGAGCTGCCTGCGCCCTCGTATTATACGAGCGCCCTTCACGATGCGTGTCCTGCTCCATTTTATTTTATTTATTATCTGTATAATATTTCGCAAAACAAACCGCTGCGGTCAAATTTTGTGTACCAAAACACGTATATTTTTATATTCCAAAAAAAAACTAAAATGATATTTGTATATAATTGTACACAACGCCCAAAAGTAAATTATGCGAAAGAAAATATATATATGCTGTATGCGAAATAAATATTTAAATAAGACGATGAGACAAAAATTATAAATTATATAATATATAAAAAAAGACAAAATTTGCACTATACACAACAAAAAATATATATGTATATACGCATAAAAATGTACCTGCACTAAACCAATAAACTCCCTAAAATGTACACAACACAAAAAAAAATGCTATCTTCTTTTCTTTCTATTTCAGCTTACAAACAAAAACATCAAAAAAAAGATGTACACCGCCAAAAAAAACTTGCACTCAAACACGATATTCAAAACAAACTCTCACGTTTGACTAATTCAATGAGGGGAGGAAATTCATCATTTCTCCGACCGGAACCACCAGCCGCTCCTTTCTGCGCTTTACATACTTTGCCAGATTCATATTTTATTAATGTATCGCGAGCATTTTATCCACTGTTCCATTCATCCTCATCTGGATGGATGACAATGAAGAGATCTCAGCTTTTTACATGCCTCTTTGGATACAAATTTATTCTTATCTGCCCTTAACATTATCCCCCATGCCAGTGCCAGTGCATCGCAGGTAACAACTTCTGTCGCCTGGGCCACTGAAACACTTAAAAGCCTCTAGGGCACACGGACCACATTGCCAACGCAGACAAATAAGCCAAGTGGCACACTCTAAAATAACACTGCAATTAACTATTCACCAAAAACATATTATAAATTATGAAAACAAAACACAAAAAAAACCCAAACCAACCAGTAAATAAGTATGAATAAAAATGGGCCTATTCCCTCTATTACACCCGGAGCTTACGCCTTCCACCACCAGGCAATGAATACGTCGCAAGCGAGCGGCTTCATCTAGCCGTCGCGACATACGCATTCTCGAGGCGCTCCCATCGGAATTGCTCTGTCCATTTTTACCATAATTATTTCTTTTCACAAGAAAAAACTAACCAGTTTTGACGGCGCCCTCGTATCGGCTAATTTATTTTTCTTTTAAATTCCGTGGCCTGCGTACGGTGGCTACATATACCTCTCCCCAATCCAATATCTGGTACAGAGCTTATTTCCCCACCTACATCTGGGCTAAACACATCTTCGAACCCATTCCGCTCGAGGCACTACCACACGGTCAGCCCTCGGCACTGCTGGCATTCGATTCGAAATTCTTAAGTTTGGGCGCCATATTGTTACGACCACGCTTCTTGACTTGGGCAACGCCGGCTGGCTCATCGGAATTCCGATCAGGGCGTGAGTCCATCCCAATGCCCGCGTGAGTCGAACAAATACCGATTACTCGGTTACGGCAAAACATCCACCACTATAAACGTAAACAAACAAACCAATTACGAAATTACAATACGTGCAACAACAAAAACTACGATGCGACAAAAAAAAACTCCGGCAGTTTCAGTGGACTTCGGTGTTCCTGCCCAAGCGCTCCCGCCCATCCTGTAGCCAGCACAGTTTGTGGCTACCTACTATGGAGCTACGTACTCCTTATTTTGGCCCGGGCGGTGAGTTCATCCCCCCCCCCCCCCCCCCCCCCCCCCCCCTCACTCTACGTGTCTAGCAAAAACGCGTCATTATTTTTCTTTCCAAAACGTTATAATCTGTGCCGGTGTATGGACGTGTACAATATTAATTTAAATTACTTAACAAATGACCACAAAACATTAAAATAAAATAAATACAAACGTATGCGCACCAATGTGTGCGTGTAAATGTATGTTGGTGAATATACGTATGTGCGATAAATATATGTTTGTGAATATAAGTGCTATGATTGTATGTTGGTATATATGTATGTTGTGTACAGGTTGTGATATGTATATGAATGTAGTGCTATGAATGTAAAGTATATATAAATGTTGCACGATGTATAGAAATGTTATGACATGTATGTAAATGTTGTGTCATTTATGTATATATGTGTATATGTATATAAGTGTTGTGATATGTTATAAATGTTGGGATATGTATATGAATGTTGTGCTATGAATGTATATATAAATGTTGCCCGATGTATGTATAAATGTTATGACATGTATGTAAATGTTGTGTTGTGCGTATTAAAGGGTATATAAATGTGGAACAATGTGTGTATCTTGCAGCCCAGGCTATGACCTATTGCAACCGAACGAGAACGAAAACCCAATTTGGACGGCCTATGTACTTGGATCAGCTATGGACGCGAATCGCCTTCCCTCCACAGAGCTCTAGGGGTCAGGGGCACTCCTATTTATTTTACTCTCAATTCAATTTTCTTTCCTTTTTTTTTTCTTTACAATTAAAGCACCGGACACACGATGGGGCCAGGAATCAGGGTTGCGGCGGTACGGCGTTGGCGTCGCTAGCATCAACACCTGGTACCAGAACGGACTCACTCAGTTGAGGCTTCTACGGCACGTATCCTCCGTCGTCTATGCTGGCGGTACGGTAGAATCCGCTGGTCGGTGGGATAGCCCTGAAGACGCGGCTGTACGGGCTGCCGCTGACGAAGATGCGACGATGAGACGATGATGGCGATGCGGGCGGTCAATTCAGCCTCAACATGCGTCGAAACGTGGTCGGCGGGACGATTGGGCATGTGCTGGTGGCTACCAATTGCCCAATATCCAAAATGTAGCATAAGTCCAAAATAAACAGACCCAGCGGCCGCTCGTCTGCTGCTGGGTCTATGATTATCTGACACGTAGACATTGGCATAAATTTCTTTCATTTATTTTCTAACCTTTTTTTCTCTTACCTATTTTCAGGTTATAGGTATATTCAAAATTCTTTCAGGTCTGTGTCCGTTCTCCGTCCTTGCTCGTCTCATTCACCAGCAACAATGCCGCCACCACCTCGCGTACCGCGTGGCTCTTTCAAAACCCTTTTGCATCCGTTTATTCCCATCCTTCTCCTGCCGCCATCTCCTACTCCCATTTCCAGCAACCATGGCCTGCTGCCGCAACAGCTGGCACTGTCACTTCCCGGTACCGCAAGGTGGCGCTGGTAACCGGTTGCGCCGATAAATGTATGCTGGCGTTGCCAGAAACCGCGGCCGATAATTAGCCGATGCAACACCAACGCAAAGGTGCGAGTGACGCCATCCGGAATGCTGCAACCTTTGCGCGCATCATCTCCGCCGTCGCGCGACTTCGGCTTTCGATCCTTCCGACACGCCCAACGTAGGCCACACCCACTCTTCGCTCGCGCTTAGGAGCGCAAATCTTTTGCGTGGAAAACTCCCAGAGGCCTTCCTTGCAGATCTTCAACTTCGTACGCGTTGCTTCCAACGGCTCGGCCCACTCGCGACTTCAGGAACTTCCTCGCAAACTTCGCGTTGAACGCTTTGCTAAAGTCGCTGAGTACGAAGTTTCGGCGGTAGACTTCTTGGCCCGGGACAGCATGGAACTTACGCGCTCGTTGGTCAAAGCGGGCTCTACTTCGCTCATACGCGGTATGCATGTGTCTTTGCACCTTCTCCTGGACAAGTTTCTATCTGTCGCTTTTATTTAATACTGACATCTCGTGGTCGCCCATCGACTTCAGTTTCCTCGCCAATTCATATTGGGACCCATGCAACATCATGTGCTGCCCGAAGAGTGCAAAGAACGGCGTCTTTCCTGTCGCCGCGTGCACGCTGTTTCGAATCGCCACCTCGATTTCCGGCAGATGCAAATCCCCCTCTCTATGATCCTGTTCCAGGTATGCTCTAATGGCTGCCAATACGGTGCGGTTGACCCGTTCCGAGGCGTTGCTCTGGGGCGAATATACCGGGGTCTTCAGATGCTTGATCCCGTACGCACCAATCATCTCCGCAAACGTCGCTGAAGTAAATTGCCGCCCATTGTCTGAATGCATCACCTCTGGCACTCCAAATGTGTGAAAGACGTTGTTCACCAGAAATTCCACCACATTTCACGACGTAGCCTTCCTCATCGCTTTCAAGAAGGTAAACTTCGTGAAATAATCGACGACGATGAATATAAACGCTTGGCCTTGCTTAGTTCTAGGGTATTTCCCTAGGAAATCAACATATAGCTTCTGGAAAGGCCGCCCTGTCACCACCTCAGCACCGAGACTGACCTGCATTTTAAAATTTGCCGCCTTGGTCTCTTTGCAGACTTGGCAGCCTCGCACAAACTCCGCGACTTGACACGCCATCCTCGGCCAATAGAAGTACCGCCGTAGATTTTCCAGCGTCTTCGCAACTCCTCCGTGTCCCGCTGTTTCCTCGCAATGGGCTCTCGTAATCAGGGCTCCTGTTAACGCGCTGGGCACCCACAGCTTCCACTCGATTCCGTCTAGCTGTGCCTCAAGGCGGTTGAATGCGGTCCGTTTGTAAATGACGCCGTCCACGACTTGCAAGTCAATTCTCGGTATTCCTCCGATTCAAATTCAGCCGTTTCCATGCCTAGAATTTCACCTGGAGCTAGCGCCAGTTCATCCACCGCCTATACTCTCGGCTCGAGCCGTCGTGTGTTTGGGCCCTGCTTGCGCTTTGCCTTGGCTCAGGCCTTTTCGGGACTGCTCCTCTGCTGACGTGATCAGACACCTGCTGCTCGGCGCGCAATTCAGGTACGTAGTCCACGCCTGTTCTGACCGGTAGCAATGCCTCGTTAACCGCTCGCATTAATTCCAGGAGGCCTTTTCGAATCTCCTCCTGCAACACCTGGCTTACTCCGTCCACCTGCGCATGCCCATAGGTTTGGTTGGCCTGTGCGATGGCAACATTTACCGCAGACGCCACTTCGCTATCGACGCGCCCCGGTGTGCCATCACGTCGCTCCTCTTGCCTCGAATGCTGTCTGGGCGGTGTTCGCAGCAGACTGACAGGCCGCGCCGCCACAGCGCCCGCTTCCGAGCCTTCATCGAGCTCTATCAGCCCACCATCTCGAGCTGCCTGCGCCCTCGTATTATACGAGCGCCCTTCACGATGCGTGTCCTGCTCCATTTTATTTTATTTATTATCTGTATAATATTTCGCAAAACAAACCGCTGCGGTCAAATTTTGTGTACCAAAACACGTATATTTTTATATTCCAAAAAAAAAACTAAAATGATATTTGTATATAATTGTACACAACGCCCAAAAGTAAATTATGCGAAAGAAAATATATATATGCTGTATGCGAAATAAATATTTAAATAAGACGATGAGACAAAAATTATAAATTATATAATATATAAAAAAAGACAAAATTTGCACTATACACAACAAAAAATATATATGTATATACGCATAAAAATGTACCTGCACTAAACCAATAAACTCCCTAAAATGTACACAACACAAAAAAAAATGCTATCTTCTTTTCTTTCTATTTCAGCTTACAAACAAAAACATCAAAAAAAAAGATGTACACCGCCAAAAAAAACTTGCACTCAAACACGATATTCAAAACAAACTCTCACGTTTGACTAATTCAATGAGGGGAGGAAATTCATCATTTCTCCGACCGGAACCACCAGCCGCTCCTTTCTGCGCTTTACATACTTTGCCAGATTCATATTTTATTAATGTATCGCGAGCATTTTATCCACTGTTCCATTCATCCTCATCTGGATGGATGACAATGAAGAGATCTTACCTTTTTACATGCCTCTTTGGATACAAATTTATTCTTATCTGCCCTTAACATTATCCCCCATGCCAGTGCCAGTGCATCGCAGGTAACAACTTCTGTCGCCTGGGCCACTGAAACACTTAAAAGCCTCTAGGGCACACGGACCACATTGCCAACGCAGACAAATAAGCCAAGTGGCACACTCTAAAATAACACTGCAATTAACTATTCACCAAAAACATATTATAAATTATGAAAACAAAACACAAAAAAAACCCAAACCAACCAGTAAATAAGTATGAATAAAAATGGGCCTATTCCCTCTATTACACCCGGAGCTTACGCCTTCCACCACCAGGCAATGAATACGTCGCAAGCGAGCGGCTTCATCTAGCCGTCGCGACATACGCATTCTCGAGGCGCTCCCATCGGAATTGCTCTGTCCATTTTTACCATAATTATTTCTTTTCACAAGAAAAAACTAACCAGTTTTGACGGCGCCCTCGTATCGGCTAATTTATTTTTCTTTTAAATTCCGTGGCCTGCGTACGGTGGCTACATATACCTCTCCCCAATCCAATATCTGGTACAGAGCTTATTTCCCCACCTACATCTGGGCTAAACACATCTTCGAACCCATTCCGCTCGAGGCACTACCACACGGTCAGCCCTCGGCACTGCTGGCATTCGATTCGAAATTCTTAAGTTTGGGCGCCATATTGTTACGACCACGCTTGTTGACTTGGGCAACGCCGGCTGGCTCATCGGAATTCCGATCAGGGCGTGAGTCCATCCCAATGCCCGCGTGAGTCGAACAAATACCGATTACTCGGTTACGGCAAAACATCCACCACTATAAACGTAAACAAACAAACCAATTACGAAATTACAATACGTGCAACAACAAAAACTACGATGCGACAAAAAAAAACTCCGGCAGTTTCAGTGGACTTCGGTGTTCCTGCCCAAGCGCTCCCGCCCATCCTGTAGCCAGCACAGTTTGTGGCTACCTACTATGGAGCTACGTACTCCTTATTTTGGCCCGGTCGGTGAGTTCATCCCCCCCCCCCCCCCCCCCCCCCCCCCTCACTCTACGTGTCTAGCAAAAACGCGTCATTATTTTTCTTTCCAAAACGTTATAATCTGTGCCGGTGTATGGACGTGTACAATATTAATTTAAATTACTTAACAAATGACCACAAAACATTAAAATAAAATAAATACAAACGTATGCGCACCAATGTGTGCGTGTAAATGTATGTTGGTGAATATACGTATGTGCGATAAATATATGTTTGTGAATATAAGTGCTATGATTGTATGTTGGTATATATGTATGTTGTGTACAGGTTGTGATATGTATATGAATGTAGTGCTATGAATGTAAAGTATATATAAATGTTGCACGATGTATAGAAATGTTATGACATGTATGTAAATGTTGTGTCATTTATGTATATATGTGTATATGCATATAAGTGTTGTGATATGTTATAAATGTTGGGATATGTATATGAATGTTGTGCTATGAATGTATATATAAATGTTGCCCGATGTATGTATAAATGTTATGACATGTATGTAAATGTTGTGTTGTGCGTATTAAAGGGTATATAAATGTGGAACAATGTGTGTATCTTGCAGCCCATGCTATGACCTATTGCAACCGAACGAGAACGAAAACCCAATTTGGACGGCCTATGTACTTGGATCAGCTATGGACGCGAATCGCCTTCCCTCCACGGAGCTCTAGGGGTCAGGGGCACTCCTATTTATTTTACTCTCAATTCAATTTTCTTTCCTTTTTTTTTTCTTTACAATTAAAGCACCGGACACACGATGGGGCCAGGAATCAGGGTTGCGGCGGTACGGCGTTGGCGTCGCTAGCATCAACACCTGGTACCAGAACGGACTCACTCAGTTGAGGCTTCTACGGCACGTATCCTCCGTCGTCTATGCTGGCGGTACGGTAGAATCCGCTGGTCGGTGGGATAGCCCTGAAGACGCGGCTGTACGGGCTGCCGCTGACGAAGATGCGACGATGAGACGATGATGGCGATGCGGGCGGTCAATTCAGCCTCAACATGCGTCGAAACGTGGTCGGCGGGACGATTGGGCATGTGCTGGTGGCTACCAATTGCCCAATATCCAAAATGTAGCATAAGTCCAAAATAAACAGACCCAGCGGCCGCTCGTCTGCTGCTGGGTCTATGATTATCTGACACGTAGACATTGGCATAAATTTCTTTCATTTATTTTCTAACCTTTTTTTCTCTTACCTATTTTCAGGTTATAGGTATATTCAAAATTCTTTCAGGTCTGTGTCCGTTCTCCGTCCTTGCTCGTCTCATTCACCAGCAACAATGCCGCCACCACCTCGCGTACCGCGTGGCTCTTTCAAAACCCTTTTGCATCCGTTTATTCCCATCCTTCTCCTGCCGCCATCTCCTACTCCCATTTCCAGCAACCATGGCCTGCTGCCGCAACAGCTGGCACTGTCACTTCCCGGTACCGCAAGGTGGCGCTGGTAACCGGTTGCGCCGATAAATGTATGCTGGCGTTGCCAGAAACCGCGGCCGATAATTAGCCGATGCAACACCAACGCAAAGGTGCGAGTGACGCCATCCGGAATGCTGCAACCTTTGCGCGCATCATCTCCGCCGTCGCGCGACTTCGGCTTTCGATCCTTCCGACACGCCCAACGTAGGCCACACCCACTCTTCGCTCGCGCTTAGGAGCGCAAATCTTTTGCGTGGAAAACTCCCAGAGGCCTTCCTTGCAGATCTTCAACTTCGTACGCGTTGCTTCCAACGGCTCGGCCCACTCGCGACTTCAGGAACTTCCTCGCAAACTTCGCGTTGAACGCTTTGCTAAAGTCGCTGAGTACGAAGTTTCGGCGGTAGACTTCTTGGCCCGGGACAGCATGGAACTTACGCGCTCGTTGGTCAAAGCGGGCTCTACTTCGCTCATACGCGGTATGCATGTGTCTTTGCACCTTCTCCTGGACAAGTTTCTATCTGTCGCTTTTATTTAATACTGACATCTCGTGGTCGCCCATCGACTTCAGTTTCCTCGCCAATTCATATTGGGACCCATGCAACATCATGTGCTGCCCGAAGAGTGCAAAGAACGGCGTCTTTCCTGTCGCCGCGTGCACGCTGTTTCGAATCGCCACCTCGATTTCCGGCAGATGCAAATCCCCCTCTCTATGATCCTGTTCCAGGTATGCTCTAATGGCTGCCAATACGGTGCGGTTGACCCGTTCCGAGGCGTTGCTCTGGGGCGAATATACCGGGGTCTTCAGATGCTTGATCCCGTACGCACCAATCATCTCCGCAAACGTCGCTGAAGTAAATTGCCGCCCATTGTCTGAATGCATCACCTCTGGCACTCCAAATGTGTGAAAGACGTTGTTCACCAGAAATTCCACCACATTTCACGACGTAGCCTTCCTCATCGCTTTCAAGAAGGTAAACTTCGTGAAATAATCGACGACGATGAATATAAACGCTTGGCCTTGCTTAGTTCTAGGGTATTTCCCTAGGAAATCAACATATAGCTTCTGGAAAGGCCGCCCTGTCACCACCTCAGCACCGAGACTGACCTGCATTTTAAAATTTGCCGCCTTGGTCTCTTTGCAGACTTGGCAGCCTCGCACAAACTCCGCGACTTGACACGCCATCCTCGGCCAATAGAAGTACCGCCGTAGATTTTCCAGCGTCTTCGCAACTCCTCCGTGTCCCGCTGTTTCCTCGCAATGGGCTCTCGTAATCAGGGCTCCTGTTAACGCGCTGGGCACCCACAGCTTCCACTCGATTCCGTCTAGCTGTGCCTCAAGGCGGTTGAATGCGGTCCGTTTGTAAATGACGCCGTCCACGACTTGCAAGTCAATTCTCGGTATTCCTCCGATTCAAATTCAGCCGTTTCCATGCCTAGAATTTCACCTGGAGCTAGCGCCAGTTCATCCACCGCCTATACTCTCGGCTCGAGCCGTCGTGTGTTTGGGCCCTGCTTGCGCTTTGCCTTGGCTCAGGCCTTTTCGGGACTGCTCCTCTGCTGACGTGATCAGACACCTGCTGCTCGGCGCGCAATTCAGGTACGTAGTCCACGCCTGTTCTGACCGGTAGCAATGCCTCGTTAACCGCTCGCATTAATTCCAGGAGGCCTTTTCGAATCTCCTCCTGCAACACCTGGCTTACTCCGTCCACCTGCGCATGCCCATAGGTTTGGTTGGCCTGTGCGATGGCAACATTTACCGCAGACGCCACTTCGCTATCGACGCGCCCTGGTGTGCCATCACGTCGCTCCTCTTGCCTCGAATGCTGTCTGGGCGGTGTTCGCAGCAGACTGACAGGCCGCGCCGCCACAGCGCCCGCTTCCGAGCCTTCATCGAGCTCTATCAGCCCACCATCTCGAGCTGCCTGCGCCCTCGTATTATACGAGCGCCCTTCACGATGCGTGTCCTGCTCCATTTTATTTTATTTATTATCTGTATAATATTTCGCAAAACAAACCGCTGCGGTCAAATTTTGTGTACCAAAACACGTATATTTTTATATTCCAAAAAAAAACTAAAATGATATTTGTATATAATTGTACACAACGCCCAAAAGTAAATTATGCGAAAGAAAATATATATATGCTGTATGCGAAATAAATATTTAAATAAGACGATGAGACAAAAATTATAAATTATATAATATATAAAAAAAGACAAAATTTGCACTATACACAACAAAAAATATATATGTATATACGCATAAAAATGTACCTGCACTAAACCAATAAACTCCCTAAAATGTACACAACACAAAAAAAAATGCTATCTTCTTTTCTTTCTATTTCAGCTTACAAACAAAAACATCAAAAAAAAGATGTACACCGCCAAAAAAAACTTGCACTCAAACACGATATTCAAAACAAACTCTCACGTTTGACTAATTCAATGAGGGGAGGAAATTCATCATTTCTCCGACCGGAACCACCAGCCGCTCCTTTCTGCGCTTTACATACTTTGCCAGATTCATATTTTATTAATGTATCGCGAGCATTTTATCCACTGTTCCATTCATCCTCATCTGGATGGATGACAATGAAGAGATCTTACCTTTTTACATGCCTCTTTGGATACAAATTTATTCTTATCTGCCCTTAACATTATCCCCCATGCCAGTGCCAGTGCATCGCAGGTAACAACTTCTGTCGCCTGGGCCACTGAAACACTTAAAAGCCTCTAGGGCACACGGACCACATTGCCAACGCAGACAAATAAGCCAAGTGGCACACTCTAAAATAACACTGCAATTAACTATTCACCAAAAACACCCGGAGCTTACGCCTTCCACCACCAGGCAATGAATACGTCGCAAGCGAGCGGCTTCATCTAGCCGTCGCGACATACGCATTCTCGAGGCGCTCCCATCGGAATTGCTCTGTCCATTTTTACCATAATTATTTCTTTTCACAAGAAAAAACTAACCAGTTTTGACGGCGCCCTCGTATCGGCTAATTTATTTTTCTTTTAAATTCCGTGGCCTGCGTACGGTGGCTACATATACCTCTCCCCAATCCAATATCTGGTACAGAGCTTATTTCCCCACCTACATCTGGGCTAAACACATCTTCGAACCCATTCCGCTCGAGGCACTACCACACGGTCAGCCCTCGGCACTGCTGGCATTCGATTCGAAATTCTTAAGTTTGGGCGCCATATTGTTACGACCACGCTTCTTGACTTGGGCAACGCCGGCTGGCTCATCGGAATTCCGATCAGGGCGTGAGTCCATCCCAATGCATGCGTGAGTCGAACAAATACCGATTACTCGGTTACGGCAAAACATCCACCACTATAAACGTAAACAAACAAACCAATTACGAAATTACAATACGTGCAACAACAAAAACTACGATGCGACAAAAAAAAACTCCGGCAGTTTCAGTGGACTTCGGTGTTCCTGCCCAAGCGCTCCCGCCCATCCTGTAGCCAGCACAGTTTGTGGCTACCTACTATGGAGCTACGTACTCCTTATTTTGGCCCGGTCGGTGAGTTCATCCCCCCCCCCCTCACTCTACGTGTCTAGCAAAAACGCGTCATTATTTTTCTTTCCAAAACATTATAATCTGTGCCGGTGTATGGACGTGTACAATATTAATTTAAATTACTTAACAAATGACCACAAAACATTAAAATAAAATAAATACAAACGTATGCGCACCAATGTGTGCGTGTAAATGTATGTTGGTGAATATACGTATGTGCGATAAATATATGTTTGTGAATATAAGTGCTATGATTGTATGTTGGTATATATGTATGTTGTGTACAGGTTGTGATATGTATATGAATGTAGTGCTATGAATGTAAAGTATATATAAATGTTGCACGATGTATAGAAATGTTATGACATGTATGTAAATGTTGTGTCATTTATGTATATATGTGTATATGTATATAAGTGTTGTGATATGTTATAAATGCTGGGATATGTATATGAATGTTGTGCTATGAATGTATATATAAATGTTGCCCGATGTATGTATAAATGTTATGACATGTATGTAAATGTTGTGTTGTGCGTATTAAAGGGTATATAAATGTGGAACAATGTGTGTATCTTGCAGTCCAGGCTATGACCTATTGCAACCGAACGCGAACGAAAACCCAATTCGGACGGCCTATGTACTTGGATCAGCTATGGACGCGAATCGCCTTCCCTCCACAGAGCTCTAGGGGTCAGGGGCACTCCTATTTATTTTACTCTGGTGGCCAAACACTCACAAATTCTAGGCTGTCCTTCCTATTCGGTTTTACATAACTCTGAGATCAAAGCTTGGCTATTTCCTCACGAGACAGGTGAGCGTACGCATAAATACATGTAAACACTTATGTTCATATTAAAGTTTAATTCAATTCAATTCTCTTTCCTTTTTTTTCTTTACAATTAAAGCACCGGACACACGATGGGGCCAGGAATCAGGGTTGCGGCGGTACGGCGTTGGCGTCGCTAGCATCAACACCTGGTACCAGAACGGACTCACTCAGTTTAGGCTTCTACGGCACGTATCCTCCGTCGTCTATGCTGGCGGTACGGTAGAATCCGCTGGTCGGTGGGATAGCCCTGAAGACGCGGCTGTACGGGCTGCCGCTGACGAAGATGCGACGATGAGACGATGATGGCGATGCGGGCGGTCAATTCAGCCTCAACATGCGTCGAAACGTGGTCGGCGGGACGATTGGGCATGTGCTGGTGGCTACCAATTGCCCAATATCCAAAATGTAGCATAAGTCCAAAATAAACAGACCCAGCGGCCGCTCGTCTGCTGCTGGGTCTATGATTATCTGACACGTAGACATTGGCATAAATTTCTTTCATTTATTTTCTAACCTTTTTTTCTCTTACCTATTTTCAGGTTATAGGTATATTCAAAATTCTTTCAGGTCTGTGTCCGTGCTCCGTCCTTGCTCGTCTCATTCACCAGCAACAATGCCGCCACCACCTCGCGTACCGCGTGGCTCTTTCAAAACCCTTTTGCATCCGTTTATTCCCATCCTTCTCCTGCCGCCATCTCCTACTCCCATTTCCAGCAACCATGGCCTGCTGCCGCAACAGCTGGCACTGTCACTTCCCGGTACCGCAAGGTGGCGCTGGTAACCGGTTGCGCCGATAAATGTATGCTGGCGTTGCCAGAAACCGCGGCCGATAATTAGCCGATGCAACACCAACGCAAAGGTGCGAGTGACGCCATCCGGAATGCTGCAACCTTTGCGCGCATCATCTCCGCCGTCGCGCGACTTCGGCTTTCGCTTAGGAGCGCAAATCTTTTGCGTGGAAAACTCCCAGAGGCCTTCCTTGCAGATCTTCAACTTCGTACGCGTTGCTTCCAACGGCTCGGACTACTCGCGACTTCAGGAACTTCCTCGCAAACTTCGCGTTGAACGCTTTGCTAAAGTCGCTGAATTCCAAATTTTTAGGCGGTAGACTTCTTGGCCCGGGACAGCATGGAACTTACGCGCTCGTTGGTCAAAGCGGGCTCTACTTCGCTCATACGCGGTATGCATGTGTCTTTGCACCTTCTCCTGGACAAGTTTCTGTCTGTCGCTTTTATTTAATACTGACATCTCGTGGTCGCCCATCGACTTCAGTTTCCTCGCCAATTCATATTGGGACCCATGCAACATCATGTGCTGCCCGAAGAGTGCAAAGAACGGCGTCTTTCCTGTCGCCGCGTGCACGCTGTTTCGAATCGCCACCTCGATTTCCGGCAGATGCAAATCCCCCTCTCTATGATCCTGTTCCAGGTATGCTCTAATGGCTGCCAATACGGTGCGGTTGACCCGTTCCGAGGCGTTGCTCTGGGGCGAATATACCGGGGTCTTCAGATGCTTGATCCCGTACGCACCAATCATCTCCGCAAACGTCGCTGAAGTAAATTGCCGGCCATTGTCTGAATGCATCACCTCTGGCACTCCAAATGTGTGAAAGACGTTGTTCACCAGAAATTCCACCACATTTCCCGACGTAGCCTTCCTCATCGCTTTCAAGAAGGTAAACTTCGTGAAATAATCGACGACGATGAATATAAACGCTTGGCCTTGCTTAGTTCTAGGGTATTTCCCTAGGAAATCAACATATAGCTTCTGGAAAGGCCGCCCTGTCACCACCTCAGCACCGAGACTGACCTGCATTTTAAAATTTGCCGCCTTGGTCTCTTTGCAGACTTGGCAGCCTCGCACAAACTCCGCGACTTGACACGCCATCCTCGGCCAATAGAAGTACCGCCGTAGATTTTCCAGCGTCTTCGCAACTCCTCCGTGTCCCGCTGTTTCCTCGCAATGGGCTCTCGTAATCAGGGCTCCTGTTAACGCGCTGGGCACCCACAGCTTCCACTCGATTCCGTCTAGCTGTGCCTCAAGGCGGTTGAATGCGGTCCGTTTGTAAATGACGCCGTCCACGACTTGCAAGTCAATTCTCGGTATTCCTCCGATTCAAATTCAGCCGTTTCCATGCCTAGAATTTCACCTGGAGGTAGCGCCAGTTCATCCACTGCCTATACTCTCGGCTCGAGCCGTCGTGTGTTTGGGCCCTGCTTGCGCTTTGCCTTGGCTCAGGCCTTTTGGGACTGCTCCTCTGCTGACGTGATCAGACACCTGCTGCTCGGCGCGCAATTCAGGTACGTAGTCCACGCCTGTTCTGACCGGTAGCAATGCCTCGTTAACCGCTCGCATTAATTCCAGGAAGCCTTTTCGAATCTCCTCCTGCAACACCTGGCTTACTCCGTTCACCTGCGCATGCCCATAGGTTTGGTTGGCCTGTGCGATGGCAACATTTACCGCTGACGCCACTTCGCTATCGACGCGCCCCGGTGTGCCATCACGTCGCTCCTCTTGCCTCGAATGCTGTCTGGGCGGTGTTCGCAGCAGACTGCCAGGCCGCGCCGCCACAGCGCCCGCTTCCGAGCCTTCATCGAGCTCTATCAGCCCACCATCTCGAGCTGCCTGCGCCCTCGTATTATACGAGCGCCCTTCACGATGCGTGTCCTGCTCCATTTTATATTATTTATTATCTGTATAATATTTCGCAAAACAAACCGCTGCGGTCAAATTTTGTGTACCAAAACACGTATATTTTTATATTCAAAAAAAAAACTAAAATGATATTTGTATATAATTGTACACAACGCCCAAAAGTAAATTATGCGAAAGAAAATATATATATGCTGTATGCGAAATAAATATTTAAATAAGACGATGAGACAAAAATTATAGATTATATAATATATAAAAAAAGACAAAATTTGCACTATACACAACAAAATATATATATGTATATACGCATAAAAATGTACCTGCACTAAACCAATAAACTCCCTAAAATGTACACAACACAAAAAAATGCTATCTTCTTTTCTTTCTATTTCAGCTTACAAACAAAAACATCAAAAAAAAGTGGTACACCGCCAAAAAAAAACTTGCACTCAAACACGATATTCAAAACAAACTCTCACGTTTGACTAATTCAATGAGGGGAGGAAATTCATCATTTCTCCGACCGGAACCACCAGCCGCTCCTTTCTGCGCTTTACATACTTTGCCAGATTCATATTTTATTAATGTATCGCGAGCATTTTATCCACTGTTCCATTCATCCTCATCTGGATGGATGACAATGAAGAGATCTCAGCTTTTTACATGCCTCTTTGGATACAAATTTATTCTTATCTGCCCTTAACATTATCCCCCATGCCAGTGCCAGTGCATCGCAGGTAACAACTTCTGTCGCCTATTTACAAAAACATATTATAAATTATGAAAACAAAACACAAAAAAACCCAAACCAACCAGTAAATAAGTATGAATAAAAATGGGCCTATTCCCTCTATTACACCCGGAGCTTACGCCTTCCACCACCAGGCAATGAATACGTCGCAAGCGAGCGGCTTCATCTAGCCGTCGCGACATACGCATTCTCGAGGCGCTCCCATCGGAATTGCTCTGTCCATTTTTACCATAATTATTTCTTTTCACAAGAAAAAACTAACCAGTTTTGACGGCGCCCTCGTATCGGCTAATTTATTTTTCTTTTAAATTCCGTGGCCTGCGTACGGTGGCTACATATAACTCTCCCCAATCCAATATCTGGTACAGAGCTTATTTCCCCACCTACATCTGCCATTCGATTCGAAATTCTTAAGTTTGGGCGCCATATTGTTACGACCACGCTTCTTGACTTGGGCAACGCCGGCTGGCTCATCGGAACTCCGATCAGGGCGTGAGCCCATCCCAATGCCCGCGTGAGTCGAACAAATACCGATTACTCGGTTACGGCAAAACATCCACCACTATAAACGTAAACAAACAAACCAATTACGAAATTACAATACGTGCAACAAAAAAAACTACGATGCGACAAAAAAAAACTCCGGCAGTTTCAGTGGACTTCGGTGTTCCTGCCCAAGCGCTCCCGCCCATCCTGTAGCCAGCACAGTTTGTGGCTACCCACTATGGAGCTACGTACTCCTTATTTTGGCCCGGTCGGTGAGTTCATCCCGCCCCCCTCACGCCCCCCTCATTCCAAAACGTTATAATCTGTGCCGGTGTATGGAAGTGTACAATATTAATTTAAATTACTTAACAAATGACCACAAAACATTAAAATAAAATAAATACAAACGTATGCGCACCAATGTGTGCGTGTAAATGTATGTTGGTGAATATACGTATGTGCGATAAATATATGTTTGTGAATATAAGTGCTATTATTGTATGTTGGTATATATGTATGTGTGTATCAATGTTGTGTACAGGTTGTGATATGTATATGAATGTAGTGCTATGAATGTAAAGTATATAGTATAGTGACATATGCATCACACCCATACACCCACATATAAGTTCACATATGCCAACGGCACCACTCTTGCACCTTATGTATAATTTCAAATACGCCAGCGGCACGTACACATAAAATCATAGCACATAAAAGATTGTAAGCAGACTCCCGAGAATTTATAGCAATAACAATTTGGCTCCCACACTTCATGCTGTAAACAAATTTATGTTCTCACCAAATTGCCAGTGCGGCTCAAATTCGGGACGAGCAAAGTCCAATTGCCAACGCGGCTCAAATTCGGGACGAGCAAAAGTCCAAAGTCCAATTGAACAAAGGAATTCATTGTCAAGAGAAAAAGCTCTTGACCAAGAAAGCTCTAAACCGAGTTTTGCTAAGCGATCGCGAAACTTGGAGGAGTTGAGTCTTATATTTTCGTTCGAGCCATACGGATCGAGTCTTGCAAACTTATCGTTAAGTTCACCTAAGTGTAATTCTCCATTAAGTCAATAAATGTCGTGTTGAATATTAAATAAAACATTTTTTTTCAATCGATGTTACGTTGAATATTTAATTGGCGCAGCTGGTAGGATATATCTAAGGTGAACAAATAACCGCTACGTAAGGATTCTAACATTATCCTTGAACCGGTAACTAAATTCATTGTGAATGTTAATAGTGCTAATGCTCAGGCAGCATCTGTTCATTCTACGCAATTGAACAAATTGATTCACTGAAATATATCCGCTGAAGAACCCACGTGTGTAGTGCGTAAATGAAGACTTTAAAAAGTTCGTGAGTGATATGATCAATTAAGAAAGGAATTCCAAACGACTGGATTCTTTCCGATCATCGCGCACAATTGAGTGTAGTATCACAACTAAATCGGACTTACTTCAATTTCGCTAAAAGTGTCACACAATCAACGACCATTAAAGGACAATTAAAGTCCCAGGTCAAAAACTCAACCACAATCAACGACCATTAAAGGACAATTAAAGTCCCAGGTCAAAGACTCAACCACAAATCAACCAAGTGAAACCAACAAAATCACAACCAAATAAAAATCATCAAAAATGGTAACGAGTGCAGAATCCACACCCGTTCTCACAGAGCTACATCTGAGTCAAGCCCTCGGACAGATTAGGCAGGTGCCTATGTTCAATGGAGCCACGGAGGAGTTGAGCGCTTTCATCAGAAGAATTGATTTCATTATGCGCCTCTACTTGACCGCAGACCCAAGACAGCGCAGCGTCTTGTTTGGAGCAGTTGAAATGCAAGTAACAGGAGATGCACAACGAGTATCTCAGTTGGCGGCACCGAATTCATGGCACGAGCTGAAGGCGGTCCTGATATCGGAATTTAAAACGCAAACCCCTTTTGAGGAGCTGCTCAGACGGCTCTACAACACACAATTTAGCGGCAACATCCGTAAGTTTGTGGAAGAATTAGAATATAAGTCATTTTTGATTACAAATAAGTTAACATTAGAAGATGATAGTAGAAACACAGCATTATATACAAACGCCCTAAACAAAACTGTAAAAGATGTGATTACAAGAAAACTGCCTGATAGATTGTTCATGGTATTGGCAAGGTACGATATAAGTACGGTTTCAGGCTTGAAACAGGTGGCTCAGAGAGAGGGAATTTATGAAAATACCTTCTCCGATAGGAATAAAAACTACAATGGTCCGATAAATCAATCAAAACCCCAAAATTCAGGTTACCAAAGGCATAGCAATGATCGTGCGAATGGGGGAAATAATGATGGGAATCAAAATAAAAATTCCAATCAAACATATGCTCATAGACATACAAACACTTACAATAATACTAGACCAAGACACCAAACCGAGAATTATCAACAATTTCATCAAGAATTGCAACAAAAATTGCATCATGATAGAGTAAACAACCCTGTCAATCATCAGACGGCTCAGGTTCGGAGTGCACCCAATCCACCAGTCAAGAGGCAGCGTGAAAGCACTAGTGGTCATTTTAAAATGGACACTTCAGAAAATTTTCATCAAGTAGCCTCGGAGCCAGATACAGGAACCCGTTCATCAGAATACTGATGAATAGTAAAGAAATTAGGTGTGTAATAGATACAGGATCCTCAATCAATTTGTTGAAGGAGAATTTCTTCAACTTTCCGTCAAAAACTTGTCCGTTAGAAGTCCGTACTATAAATGGTACAATAGAGTTAAATGAAGCAGTGTTGTTCCACCCCAGTAAACTGTGTCCGACTAAACAGCAATTCTACATACACAATTTTTCCGATCGCTATGATATGCTAATAGGAAGAGAATTCCTTGAGGCGTGCCAGGCTAGCATCGATTATAAAACAGGGACAGTGACCCTAAACGACTATCCTTTCATGATTAGGTATAGTGACAATGACCAGCAAACAGACGAAATGTCTCAACCCACCTCTAACAGGGGACATACCCTTTAATTTCTCAATCCAAAACGAATTGAGAGAGTCCAACGAGTTCAGGCTGGATCACCTGAATCTCGAAGAAAAAGAAAAACTTAAAAAGGTCTTGGCAGAATTTCGCGATATCCAATATCGAGAAGGTGAAAATTTGACCTTCACGAGCACGATGAAGCATGTAATTCAGACAAAGCACGAAGACCCGGTCTATAAGAGACCATATAAGT